TTGTGACAACCAACCTCAAACTGCTCACAGAGATTCTCTGTTAATATGGAAAATTCCTTGAGCCCAGCCCACTTTCTTATCACTGCTTGTCATTAACATCAGGATAAAAATATAAAATGTTAACACTAACATACTGTTAGTAATAGTGGATTGGAGGATATATAATTATTTTATAAAATAAATCACACAAAACATTATTACTCTCCATCTTCATTGTATAATATGTAAAGACATTGGTTTCAAATCACAACTCTCTAGCACATAAAAAAAAAGCAAGAATAATAGGAAAAGCTCCGTGTGCCCTAGCCCTGAGCAGAATCCAGCACTCCACTAAGAGGCTGTATATTAGCTCCATCACACGGTGACAGGCTCAGAGTGTGTCTGTGATTCCCCTGTCATGGCACCAGTCACCTGCTGGTTCTCATTCAANTTTTTTATCTGTGCTTAGAGAAGTGACATTGTCTTGTCCCACTCCATCATGATCATAGAATGAGCCTGTCTGGTGTTCATGTTCTAAGATTGATTGTGCCCAGCAGGAGAACAGCATGGCCTTGCTGCCAGCTTCTTGCCAGCTTCTAACGACATCAAAGCCTAGGAGAGAGAGTCACGCCAGCCCCCGGGTATCAGGGCTGCTTTTCTCTTCCTCAGGATCAAATAAGACAGCGTAAGCAAAGGAAGGTTTTGTCAACTGCAATGCATTGTACGAATAGAAAAATATCAAGACTTAAGTGCTGCAGTTGCTGGTTGGCATTAAAATCAGAAAGGTCTAGGGCTGGCCCCATGGCGCGCTCGGGAGAGTGCGGCGCTAGGAGTGCAGCCACGCTCCCGCCGAGGGTTCGGATCCTATATAGGANTTGTGACAACCAACCTCAAACTGCTCACAGAGATTCTCTGTTAATATGGAAAATTCCTTGATCCCAACCCAGTTTCTTATCACTGCTTGTCATTAACATCAGGATAAAAATATAAAATGTTAACACTAACATATTGTTAGTAATAGCGGATTGGAGGATATATAATTATTTTATAAAATAAATCACACAAAACATTATTACTCTCCATCTTCATTGTATAATATGTAAAGACATTGATTTCAAATCACAACTCTCTAGCACATAAAAAACAGCAAGAATAATAGGAAAAGCTCCGTGTGCCCTAGCCCTGAGCAGAATCCAGCACTCCACTAAGAGGCTGTATATTAGCTCCATCACACGGTGACAAGCTCAGAGTGTGTCTGTGATTCCCCTGTCATGGCACCAGTCACCTGCTGGTTCTCATTCAATTAAATAGGAGAGCCACAGGGAAATCGCTGCTGGCACTGCAATTTTCTGGAGAGACTCAGCAGCTGCCGCTGTGTGAGACCCTGCATATGGTACACCTGATTTAATCCAGTGGAAGAAACTGGAGCCTAAATCTACTGTTCAGTCAGAGGTGAAGCAAAATGCACGAGTCAGATCCAGTCATATTAACCTCTAGCTTGCTTTTCTCTCTCCTTAGGGAGATTATCAAATTTAAAAATTATACCTATTTGTTCTTACGCATTTAAAACATGACTGCTATGAACCAAAGGGGGTACATATTCTTATTCTCAATACACTCTATATCAAACATAGGAGTGACCGTATGGGACAGTTTAGATTTTAGATATGACAATCGAATATAAGGCCTCAAAATTCCTACAAGGACACATTTGTCTTAACAGGCCAAATGTTTGATTTTCGGTTCAGAAAACATGTTCATTTTATGCTTCATGATATTAAATAACGCTAAAACAGGTGCTGCAGAGTGGTGCAGGCAAGGATGGTTTTACTTGATTCTGCAATTATTCATTCAATATTTATTGAACAGCTACTCTATGAGGGTAGAGCTGGAAACAGAGGCTAGAGGAATACAGGTGATGTGGTCCTTGCCTTCAGCTGGCATAAATTCGGTATACTTGGCAATGTGTACGTGCTGCCCAAGCTTCTAAGAGGAAAATTATAAAAAACATGAAATTGCGAAGAGTACACAAAATCAACTGTGAAAATAAAGATTGTATAGCTTGGCTCTACTTGTTCAGTGACAGTTAAAAATCATCACATTCATGGAGACTTCTGCAAGTAAAATTCTAGAGAATCTGTGCTTCTCCTCCACTCCAACAGTCTTATTATATCTTATGTGAACAGTGTAAGCAAAAAATATAAACAAGTAGGCCCAGATATATAGCATGGGGGCTCAGAGAAGGCGGGTGGGGGAGGACAGGAAAGACTTCTGAGGAGGAAACCATTGAGCTGAATTGTCTTACTAGCCAGGACAGCGGTGGGGACCGACAGTCCATTTCAGAGACTGAAAAAGCACAAGAAGATGCATTCTAAGGTAGTTTTGAGGACTGTGCAAACAGTTTCATCTTAATAAAGCCACGTTCATTCTTTAGACACTTGGCTTGTTATGTAGACACGACCTACATTTGACAGATCATTACCGACATTTATTACATAGGACTTTTGTGAGGAGGAAAAGAGGGGAAAAAAAGATGTTTGGTCTGATTTTCTGGTGATTTGTGGAGAAAGGATTAAAACATCAATTTTGGGCAGGTTAAAACAGAACCTGGTGTATAAGAAATAGGGTTGTCCTCAAAGGTAGAATCTTCCTGGTTTCCTGGTTAGGACAGGCCAAGTGAACTGAGTGTTCCAAGAAGCAGATAAGACCTTGAGACACAGAAAAACCTATTCTGTTGCTTGGATTACTACATTTGTTCTGGAATATTTTTATAATGGAGAAGATGAGATTTTAGTTACCATCTCCAAGCAAATTAGAATTTTACACAAGGCCCCAATACAGTAAGACATTAGAAGCTTTGTGACTTTGAACAAGTTACTTAGAATTTCTGAGACTGAGTTGTCTCATCTATAAAACAGTTAATCCACTGCAAAGAGTCATTGGAAAGATTAGGAAAAAATGTTCGGGAAATGCTTGACATAGAATAGTTGTTTAATTATTTTTAATCGTCATTAAGAAGGCAGGCCCAAATCCTGGGGGCCTTTTTCTAAGAAAGTAGGCAGTGAGTAAAGCAGGAGTTTGAGGAAAAGTCTGTAGGCTTCCCTGGACATATCCAAGTGGAGGCATTCAGAGGGCAGCTGGACAAATTTGTAGTCTGGGAGGAAGGTCTGGAATGAAGAC